AGGATAAAATAGCTAATAAAATGATACTTAGTTGATCCTTTGCATGAGAAAAACTGTTGTAAAAATATATCATTTTAGCCCAGACAGCATGGCTCAGTGGTTGAGCATCAACATATGAACCAGGAGATCACAGTTCGATTCCAGTCAGGGCACATGCCCGGGTTTTAGGCTTGGTCCTCAATCGGGGGCATACAGGAGGAAGCCAAGCAGTGATTCTTTCTCATCATTGATGTTTCTTTCTATCTCTCTCTCCCTCTCCCTTCCTCTCCAAAAATCAACATATATATAAATTTAAAATGTATATAATACATTTTTATGTATATAATTTTATATCTGGAAAAGGGCCAGATGATTTTGAAACATATCAAGAAACAAAGATCCCCCAAATAAGGAGAAAGCTAGTGGCAAAGCCAGAAATGGAACTTCGGTCTCTTGACTCACAGATCAGTGCTCATATCTCTATATCCAAAAGAATCCGCTCTGAAGTTATTCTAAGCAACTATTCATGTTGCTGAATTCAAGGTAGCCCCTGCCAATGTATTCAAAGCCTGTGTATGAAAAGACAGTTCTTTCTCAGACTTAACAAAAAAGGGGAAATTTTCCCTTGTGTATCCTGGCTAACTGCTCCATGCTCACAAGCCTGATGAACAGCAGTCACTGAAACTCAGTTGTCTTTGTACCCAGCGTCATACAGAACCTATTTTCAACAAGCTCGTAAGAATGGCCAAGCTATCATTTCATTCACTACCCTCCCTCCTACTTCTTCCCATGAAGACGTTTTAGGAATAAGATAGTTAATGAACCAAAGTGGGAAACAAAGAAGGGTTAGGAGGAAATTTTACTTTAAATGCAAGATAAAACACACATCACCAAAAAGAAAGAAAACACATCAAGAGCCCAATGTGAAAAGGAGTCAGCAACACTGCTCCCCTAGCATCCTGCCCTTTGAACCACAGTCTTGCTCCTCCAGGGGATATTAGCTTGGAGCTGGCTGGCAGGAAGGCAGTATGACTAATCTGCCTTAAACAAGGCA